GGGGGGGGGGGGGGGGGGGGGGGGGGGGGGGGGGGGGGGGGGGGGGGGGGGGGGTACTCATAGTTGTTCATGCCGTAGTCGTTAGACCATTGACCTCGCATTCCTACAAAACCGGAACGGAGCACGCCGGGTTCTCACCGGACCAGGCTCCCGATATCGCCCACGCTCCTCTGCTTCTGTAGTTGTAGTTGATCTCCCGGGCGAGGTCGCCATGTTCGTTGACGAGGCCACCGAGGTACCAGAACTCGGTCGTCTGGGCGTATTTCTGTCCCGCGGATTCGATGGTCAGCGGTGGAGGCGAGGGGGGCTGTGGTGTTGTAGTGGGCTTATCCTTAGCGCGCATCAGGAGCGTCTACGTCTTCTCCGATACCGTCAGCCCGAATTCCCCGAACACCCCAACGATGATGGTCATCATTCTCGCCAGTCCTTCTGCAGACCTCGATACGACACCGGCATCATCGGCATACAGCATCCCCCATACCGCCCTCCGTACTCGGTCAAGGGGTGTCTCCTACCCCCCCCACCGCTTCCGTCTTCCCCTCCTCCAAGCACACCAGGCTCCGCAGAACAACATCATCCTCGCTGAGTCGGATGACAACAACCACGACGACCTCGGCGAAGAAGATGTTGAACAGCAGTGGGGATAGCACACATCCTTGTCGCACGCCCTGTGTCACGGAGAACCAGTCCGATAGTTCTCCGTCGTCTATGCGCACCCGGGCCCGTATTCCATCGTGGAATTGGCGTAAGACTTTGATCAGTATCGCGGGAATCCCGGCCCTGGCCAGCACCTTCCGCAACATGCCTCGGTCCACCGAATCATACGCCTTGTTCAAGTCGACAAAGCACATGTATAGCTGTATTACCTTTCTCCGCCCCAGCTCCTGGAGGCGGCGCACGACGAACAGCATGTCGACGGTGGATCGCCCGGGTCATAATTCGCACTGTTCCTCCGAGAGTGTTGGGTATCAAGTACTTTCGAAGTTTCTGGTTTCGCGACATTTCCCAGGATGTGATAAAATATCGGTATATCTCCTTGTCAGACGACGAAGATACTGTTTATGGATGTCCATGAATAGGCTATGGACGCCATGTGTAATAGAGCGACATGGTATCGATTACTTCCTGCCGAAATCCCTTTCGAGATCGCACCAAGCACTGCTGGTATATGAATTGGCGTGGATACGACGATCGTAGGCGTATTGGGGGACAGGAAAAGAAGCTCGGAAGCGTACATCCAATATCAATAGACCCTTTGGCGACAAAGACACGTGGGGGGGGCGTTATGTGCAATGGTCCGACGGGAATCCGAGGTGTTTTGCAGGCAGACAGCACCAAAGGCACGCAAATGGGGCGTTGACATTCCCCCTCCTGCCAATCAGTCCCCTCCATCAAACCCCATGGATGGATGGCAAGGAGGCGGCGCCTGCCAGTTGACGATTGCAGACCGGTCTTTCTTTTGGGCAACCCTGTTCAATGCGGTACATCTTTTGACAAAACAATCTCCTTTCTTGGAAATATAAAAGTATTCAGCAGTAGTCAGGAGGATGGAGTCAAGTATTTTCTTAGCGATCTGTTGTACAATTTCCGCCCGCCGGGGGGTGTGTGCCGCAGGAGGCGTGCGCCACGGTGTGGGAGGAGCGCTTCAGTACCCAGTACGACGCTGTCCGGATGCAGCTGTACGGGCTGTACAAGGTCGCCAAGGAGGGGAAGTGTCAGGAGCCCAAGCCCAAGCCCGATACGGTAGGTCGGGAGTGCTCGCCTGCCGACGACACGCGCGTGCGTATGAGCAGGCGGCCGGCGGCAAGAAGTGCAACTCTCGAAGAAAAAAAAAAAAGTCGACCATGTTCGGTAGAACTGTGTCAAGAATCGCGGGTTTCTGTCTCGTCGCCCGAAACTGTCGGGGGGTGGGACTGTCGTGATTGTCGCCTGGACTTGAATTTCGCGTGCGGTTTATTTTCCCGCCAACACGATCGGTGGGTTGCACGTATGAGATTGCAATTGCAAGACGGTGTTACATGGGCGGTCATAAATGGGTGCTGCAAGCACGCCGTCTCCCATCTCGCGGACTCGGTCGAGTCCTCAACGTGGGTCCGCGCCGGTAAGGTGAACCCGCTACATGTCACCCGCGGCTGCACTACACAACGCTGGAATCGGACTACGCCTGGGCCTGAAGTCAACTTAGTACATTGACTCTATTCTCGTACAAGACGTAGCCCTACATTGACTGCTGCTTTTCTGGCACAGTACGTTGCCCCTTTGACCCTGTAGTGCTCCCTCTGATATTTTTGTATGCTACGTTGGTTCTGCGGTGTCGCTGCTTACCTTTGCCTCGATCGTTCACGACCTGTTGCAGGTACTGGGGGGCGAAAAGAACAGATCGAAGTGGATGGCCTGGATGGAGGCCAGCACCTTCTCGAAGGAGGAGGCGATGGCTCGCTACGTCTCGGTGGCGTTGTCGGTCGTCAAGAGCAGAGGTGAGGAGAAGAATGGCGCAAACCTCGTAGCAGGTACATATGTGGGCACCGCAGTTGCGGCAATGGTTTAAGAAGACGTTTGTTTGTTGTATCTCTTGATGGTTGCGAAAAGCCACTTCAATTGCGATGTCTCTTACAACAGCAGTGTGCATACGTTTTTTCTACCGAGTTGTCTCTCTGAAACCGTGGCTGCTGCTGCGTCAAGTTTGTTGATGGCGTCGCAGTGTTCTTTGGTTTACTTCCAACGATGACACGAGCACAATATGCGCCAGGCTCGTGGATACAGGCTGGCTTTCGGGCGACTCGCTGGAGTTAGTCGCACCATCACCATCACCATCACCAACAACAACAACAACAACAACGACAACGTCAAGCACCAACAGGGCGTGCTTGACAACGTGTCTTGGCCCAAGCGCACGTAGAGGGCAGTACGACGGCGAACACTCACAAACCATCAAGAGTTGCACCCGCCCCTTCTTCCCACCGTCAGTCGCTGCACGCCTCAAATTCGCTTTTCGTCGGCCACATCGTGCATGCGGCCTACCAG